CCAGACACACAAGGACCCCATGGGGACCCTCTTGCCCCATCCTAGACCCACAGGGACCCCCATGGAGACCCTTCTTCCCCATCTCAGACACACAGGGACCCCTGTGGGGACCCTCCTGCCCTATCCCAGACCCACAGGGACCCTTCTGCTCCATTCCAGACCCACAGGGACCTCATGGGAACCCTCCTGCCCCATCCCAGACCCACAGGGATCCCCATAGGGACCCTCCTGCCCTGTCTTCCCCTGCAGAGGAGGCACCTGGTGCTCCCAGGAGCCTGAGCAGGTGACAGGAAAAGGAGGATCTCTCACCTCCTTGTACCCAAAGACAATCCTCCCAGTGCTGTGCAGAGCTGCCTGGAAGGTGAAGCTGCCCATGTCCTCCTTCCCTTGGAGATAGACCTTGTCCCACTGCACCACAAAAACTGTCCCTGGTGGGGGGAGACCAGAGCAGGTCAGTCCTCTCCTCTCTCCTTGCTCGCCAGCCTGACCCATTCTCTTGTCTCTGAACCTCCAAGACATCTCATTCCCTCGTTCCCCAACCTCCAGCACTTCACTTGGAGCAGAGTCCCTGCCAAACATCCCAACCCAAATCCCCCCAGGAGGCTGAACATCCCCTGGGCCTCCTCCCCACACCCTCACCTGGCTCGGCCGCTCTGTTTGCCCCAGATTGCTGAGCTTTGCCCTGTGGGATGAGGAAGGGGCTGGGGAGGCAGAGCAGGGGTGGCTGGGGCAGGACTCACCATTGTCCAGGTACTGGACAGTGGAATTTCGGGAGTAGCTGGGGTTGAAGTTGGCCATGAGGGGTGCGATGTACTGCGTGGCCGTGAGCATGCGGTGGATGACATCCCCCATGAAGAGAAATCCTGAGAGACCAGAGGGGTTGAAGCAGCACACACTCCTCTCACCACCCCAGCACTCTCCTTCCAACCTCCCACCGCCCTCCCCTGCCTCACCATTGCCTCACCATCCCCTTTTTTCCCCCTCTGGATATCCTCCAAGCCTGTGTGATCTCCCTGCATCCCCCAAGTGCTGGAGAACCTGAGCACCAGCAGCACACGAGTCCCCAGGCACCAGCAGCAGCAGGGCAGGGGGTGGTTTGGGGTGCAGGAGAAGGCTAGAAGGGCTGCACCCCCTTCTCTGAGCTCCCTGGGGCTCAGGGACGTGGGGTGAGGTCGGAGGCAGCACCAGAGCCGTGTCCAGCCCCACACTGTGGATATCGCATCCCATTCCATCCCATCTGGTGCCGTCCCATCCCACCCCATCCCGACTCACCGCCTGTTGCTATGGTGACTTGCCGCAGGAGGTGACCGTAGAAGGGGAAATCGAAGGAGAGGACGATCCTCTGCGGGAGGGAGATGAGGTGAGAAACACATTCAGCCCTCGGGAAAACACAGGCTGGGAATGTGGGAGGACTGGTCTGTGCCCATCGGCACAGGGCTCTGCCCTGGCTGGTGCCTGGAGAGGAATGGGACCAGAGTTCTGCTCCCCAGGAGACCCTGGAGACTGGAGTCCCAGTCCCCACTGCTCATCCCTTCTTCCCTGGGCTGGGTGGGGGAACCAAACACTTCCCAAGTCCTGGTGTGCCCTGAGCTGGCACAGGGATGTGGAGATGAAGCTGCTGCCACTGGGATGTGGAGATGAAGCTGCTGCCACTGGGATGTGGAGATGAAGCTGCTGCCACTGGGATGTGGAGATGAAGCTGCTGCCACTGGGATGTGGAGATGAAGCTGCTGCCACTGGGATGTGGAGATGAAGCTGCTGCCACTGGGATGTGGAGATGAAGCTGCTGCCACTGGGATGTGGAGATGAAGCTGCTGCCACTGGGATGTGGAGATGAAGCTGCTGCCACTGGGATGTGGAGATGAAGCTGCTGCCACTGGGATGTGGAGATGAAGCTGCTGCCACTGGGACATCCCTGCAGGGAGAGGGGACACAGGGACACCTCCACTTCCAGACACCCCCCGGGCTCACCGAGGCCTGGCGGTGTGTGTTGGAGAGGATCCCATGGATCTTCACTTGGCTCCTGTTGGCTGCTGCCATGTCCACCCATAGTCCTCTCCTCTGGGCATCCCCTGGCCCATAGATCCGAGACACGTAGTAGCTGTGGTTGTCCTCCTGCAGCAGGGAGGGACAGGAGACATGGGATGGGGTTACCTGGATTGCTCCCTGGCAATGCAAACACCCAGCACAGCCTGGAGCAGCTGGGATGTGACCTCAGCACAAATCCAGCGTGCAAAACTCCAGCAAAGCCAGTAGAGCAGCTGGAGAAGGTGCAGGAATCCACGGGACATGGAGCACGGAGAGGCCAGAGAGAGCTCTGACTCAGAGAAACCTCAGCACAGCAGATGCAAAATTCCCAGGAAGAAAGTGTCCTGTTCCAGAGCCAGGGGCTGAGAGTTACAGCTCAAGTGACCACTTGAAGCAAAGCAAACAACCAGAGCCGTAGAAGCCTAGAGGAAATGATTAACCTTGGAACAAGCAGCTCAGGGAAAGCTGAGCCACCACCAGCTGAGCAGGGGATAAGGATGAGGATAAAGGCATGGAGGGGGGAGTGGGACATGGGATGTACTCCAGGGTGACACCCCTGGAGTGTGGGATGGGGCATGGATCTGGATGAGGGAGGAGATCCCTCCTTGTTCTCACCTAGAGTGAGGAGAGGGACCCTGAGTATCCCCACGGGGCACCAGCAGCACCCCCAGACCCCCCAGCCCTCCCTCCACTGACACGCTG